AAGAGCTGGGGAAAGGTCTACCTTTATAGTGATTCATAGTGATGAGTCCTGGCTGAGCGTTCAGAAGTTTTACACATGATAAAAATGTATATACCTCTAGTCACTGGTAAAGAGCTTGTGCAGACATCCTCAACCTTCCTGTAATGTTTTCACATGTAGAAGAGGCTCTGTTGGGATGCTCTGATCCCTCTCACCTCCCCTTTGGGCAACCTGAATAACTTAGGTTCATTTCCAGAGAAGTAAGTTCCCTAGTTCCCCTCAGGTTAAGATTTAATAGTTTTCTGTTACTAGGAGTCCTCTTGTTGCTATTTAAATCTGTCTGCACTGGTTCTATCTTTAGTTGGTATTTAGATAAGACCTGAGGAGTTAATGTTTTCCTGGCAAAACCTGGAGGAATACTTTGCTATTCTTTCCCTTCTTTTATAAAGACTGCAAAACTGCTGAGCAATAAAACAGTTGGGTTGATCTACTTTAAACACAGCTCCCAGTCTACAGTAGATCCAAATAATTCACTGATGTTACTATTTGGTTTCAGTACATAACAAGGACAGGTCAGTGTCCCTTAGGGTTGATAGTCAGTTTAGAATTGTCTCTCGCAATGACATTCCAATGAGCTATAAGGGTTGGGCTGGGAGGATTCCAAGAACTTGATTCATCAGGAAGGTTCTAGAACCACACTCTAGCAAAGAGGAGAGTGGGCTTTCTTATTTGAACAAATGCTACTCATAAAACTCAGGGCAGCAGCATAAATGGCAACAGGGAAAATCTTCACAGCTTAAGGCTAAAATAGCAAAGTTACAGAGTACTGGGTGACTTGAAAGACTCTTAGGGGACAGAGTGCCCCTGGTAATGTAAGGTAATGATTCTCATGTTTTAAAGGAAAAAGGAGCAGGGCAAGGAGCAATTCCCTTCAAGAGCAGGGCCAGCCCCACGCAGAGGCACTAAGTTCCAAATAAACCAGCCCCATCAACCATCATCTCTCTGGCTGTCACAGTCTGGTTTCCTGGCATTATACTCCCTTGGGTTGCCATGGACGGGCACTGGAAAAAAATGCAAGGAGGGTTAACAAACTGACACAGCAGCAGCCATTTCCATGTTAGTTCAGACTAATATATTTAAGAAATGGGTCTGGGTGGTGGTGCTCGGTAATGTAATGATCTATGAGGCTGACCCACATGGAAAGGTTGCCAGTTCAAGTCTAGAATCCTGCTTGAACATGCCAGGCACACACACACACTTACAATACAGGGGTTGCTGAGGCTGGGAGAGGGTGGGGTGCAAAGACCCCATTGAGCGTACCCTTTCTCTCTCTTTCTCTCTCTCTCGTCTCTCTTGCTTATAGAAGAAAGAAAGGAAGAAAATTTTGAAAATGAAAAGAGAAGTTGGCAGAGGGCGTTCTTTGAAAATGTAGGTCAGAAGGAATTGATAATGAGGACAGGGAATGTATAGAAGGAGGGGCACAGTCTAGAAGAGGGATGAATGTAGTCATGACACTTCCTTTTGAGGAGACACCATAAAGCAGGAAACTTGGGAATGACCACACTAGAGACACTCAAAGCTAGTTTTCTTTTCTTTTCTTTCTTTTTTTTTTAGGTGTTGCCATTGTTCAGGCTGCCGGATCCCAGACTCAAACTGTGGGAGTCCAGTGCCTTAACCACCATGCCATCTGCTGGTCCCACACTCAAAACTAATTTTGTTGACATTGATGATTTT